TTCAATGCCAATATTTTTGGATGTTTTAGGTTGTAAACATGTTAAATTTTACAGTCTTCTTTGATCTCATTTAAAAATAATTGTAAAAAAAAAAATTATTTATTGAAGTAAAAAACAGTACTTTTACGTCACAATAACATGTAATTCATGTGATTTTTCTTATCACGGGCGTTAGTAATCGGAAATATAATAGTTATTACTCGATTCAATCTTGAAAACTTTATGTCCATTTAGCTAATAATATCTTTTAAAAGATGTTCAAAACAGAAAATGAGACATCTTCTTCCTCTCTAAGTTCACGTCGAAGTTCCTTAGCTTCTGTCCTAAGCAAGCTCGTCAGCTTTAACGTCCGCTCAAAGTATTTATCAGAGCATTTCCTTTTCTAGTTTAAATGCAGATGAATTTGCTTTTCAGGAGGGCATTAATAATATTAAAAATATTATACCTAATGTGGAATATGAGACATCTTCTTCCTCTCTAAGTTCACGTCGAAATTCTTAGCTTCTGTCCTAAGCAGCTCGTCAGCTTCAACTTCCGCTCAAAGTACTTGTCAGAATACTTCCTTATATAATCCAAATGCAGATGAGTTTGCGCTTCAAGAATGCATTAAAATTATCAAATCTAATGTGGAAGACGTTGTAACTTACAAAACCAATAAAAATGAGAAAAAAATGGTGGATCGACGGAAATTACAAATTTATTGACGAAAATAGGTAAGACCATAAAAACTGTTATTTCTACTATACTTGCTAAAATTTGTATAATTTTCTTAGACTCCCTCTGATCCTTGTGGAAGGTGTAAGCTACAAAGAGTTTAAAAAAAATGCGAACGGGCGAATGCATCAAGGTTCTGGGAATATCGGAGTGGAACTGTAATAATAATCGAGTTACCAAAACGTGATCATGAGGTTGCTCATGGTGAATTCGTTAACAATTTACAAATGCTTTTTCTAATTTGCCAGATCAAGACAAAGTTATATATGTCGGAGCAATAAGTATGTTATCTTCAGTGCATAGTTTATGAATAATCATATATAACCATACTCTGTTGTATTCAGCTTGTTTCTGCTACTCCAGAACATATAGCCAGAGGACCTAGTAAACAGGCGGATGCTTCGTTTATACCACCACTTCTCCCTACTCCAGCTCAAATTCCGTGTGATTCTGAGGTATTATTTCTTTGGACTATATATGTTATTGAAATACAAAGATCAATTTGAATGTGTAATAATTTATAGGGTACACCTTGGCCAACTGTCATTGTTAAGGTGGCTAATTCACAAAGTCTTACGAGCATCATACACAAGACCACCCAATTCTGTTTGGATCCAAATTGTATAGAAGATGTTATTGTATTAAAATTATGGAAATGGAATAAAACTTACCATGATGAAATCCCAAGGCGCCGTTTAACAGTTCGGTATTGTTTTCGTGTCATTCATTTATTTCATTTGCCTAATAATTGTCCTGTGTTTTTGGTAGTGCTATAAATTCTGTCGCAGAACAAGTCCTCAAAATGAAGATGGGAATTACCTACCAGTTCAATTGGTATGAATTTGTGAATTTATGGCAGTTTTTTTCTGATATTTTCGTTTACAATATCACGTTTTGTATCTATTTTTTTTCAGATTGAATTCGGAACTATTGATGGAGAAAATCGACTATATAATCGATGCTCTGCTCCAGGAATGTGTACTTTAAGTATGTCACCACATTGTATTTACAGAGGCTGTCCTCATCAAAATCCACCGCTTCCACAATATCCGATTGAAAATGATGTTATTATCGACTTATTTCTTATACAGCAGAAAAATTTTCATTTTTATTAATTAGTGTTAGAATTATTACATTGATAAGAAAGTTGGATAAGATGAATGGATTTTCTTTGGGATACTCTGCTTTCATTTTTTTAATTTCTTCAAATGCTGTAATATCCTTTTAGTATGCGCACATGTTTCTCATAATACACATAATCCCTATGTAAATAATATTCGCGCTTATGCGGTTTGCTTTATTCATGCATTTATAATCCATTAATTTATTTTCTAATGAAGTATCCCTCGGGTACTTTTGTGCCAGTAAAAATTGCTAAAGTGGCGGAATTGTGCTTGATTTCTGGGAAATTATTGAGTGTGGCAACGCTTCACCTTTTCTTCTTTGATAAAACAGAATAGCGAAATCAAGCCATACAGTTTCGACTTTTAGTTCAGAAATTTTTTGCTTTATCGAGCAGCTTGATCCCTTGCAAAGGCACGGTTGACTGGTTATATGATGTCAATTGACGATTTTGTGATAGAAATTCTTTTACGGTATTGACCTATTTATACTTACAATTTTATTATTAAAAAACGAAATATATTTTGTTTAAAAAAAAAAGTAAAATAAATAAATAAAAATTAATAGTAAATCATCATAAACTCACATAATTTCCCTCCCTTCAGAACTCATTTCAACAATTTTGTGCGCATACTTGTAGCTTGGGAGTAGGACTGATCACAACCCAATTTTATTTCTAACATTTCACTTGTTCATATATTCAACTTATATTCATTGGTATTTGTATCAAACATTCTGGAGATGCTAAATGTCGGTGTATCAAGTAAATATGGCTACAATTGAAAATTCTACCTTGGAAATCCGAGTAATAAAACAAGAGGAATCGGATTTGGAAGATATATACAACGAAAATACAACGTGTTATTTCATTTTATCATCACCAAATGATGGATTGGAAGAATTTGATCGTACTGACAAAAGGATTGTTATATAATAATACGCGGGCAATACTATCGTAAATTTTATTCGCGCTATTATGACCCAAAATTCATAAAGCAATACATAGCGTATATTAAGAAATTTTGAAGAAATGATAGGTTATTTTGACGATGGTATTATATTTTTCTCAATGGTTACTTGGATTTGTTACTGTCCATTTTTTGTCTTGCAGCAAATAAAAACTTATAAGTTGGCAATACAATTTCTCCAAATGGGAAAGTGTTTTAAAAGAATCTAAAAGTTCATCAAAAGAATTGATGATTTTTTACTAGTTACAACATTTCTTGTTAACTCAAAATGAATGCATCATTTTCTCGGCGGAATAACCATGCATTTATTAAAGGAACGAGATCGTTTGTTAAAGACTTATTATATTTGGTTATTCACGATGAGAAGAAATTAATAATACTCCTTTGAATGTGCCGGTGTCAGGCCTGGAATTATACCGAAACCAATCTACAAACCAAATAACAATAAACAAATTTCTCAAAGAGAAATTACGATTAACAAATGATTTATTATAATTCACTTATGTAGAATCAATTCCTTATATATAGAAAAGAAGAAGGTTGAAAGTGTAAAATAGTATCTTTATTAAACTGTATAGTTATAAGTCTAGTCCCAAGACTTATCTCAATTCCTGAGCAAAGCTCTGTCGACTAAAGTCAACTTATGTCTATTTATAAAAATTCTAGACTAATACTAAACTACGCCTTTCTAAAATAATAGATAATACAAATAATGTAATTTAAACTAAATAATGTAAAAGAGATAAAATATGCTAAGCGACAAAGGATGATAAAAGTTGATATGTATTACTTTCATGACTATCCGCATTATATGTATGTCACTTGAGGAGCAGTACAACTATATCACCGACAGGAGCGATTTGTCAATGAAACTAATATGAAACCGATGAATGATGAAGCTAACGTTGATAACTTTATAGAAGCAATTGATGTTATTGATATAACTTCTGTTATATCAATTATTGTTTGGCTCTTTACCCCGAAGCAAATACAGTAAACGCCTTTTGAAAGAAATTGATTTCAAAATTTCACGCGATCAAAATTTAACTTAGAAAGATCTAAATAAGCTACCTCATTATACTGCAGTAATTAAAGAAGACTTTCAATTCCAGCTAATAATAGATTTAATTGCCGTATGAATATCAAAGAAAATTTAAATGTATTCGCCATTCTCAACATTTTTTACATCAAATAAGGTATAAACAAGTATAAAGCTTAATTGGAGTATACCTGAAGCATTTGATCTTGATCGTTTTGTTGATAGCTAGAAAAAAATTTAGTATATCAATTTGGAGAATATGTCCAATAAGTCATAATTTCTGGTTGTGTATTTTTTTGGTTTAATGTTAACTGTTATTATGTTATCATGATATTTTATTTTTCTTTTTTTTGAGAAATAAATGTTAGAATTAAAGATGGAGATTATAAGCTTGAATTTATTTATTGTTTCGGAATTTGTTTTTATTTCATTTAATTACATTTTAAATAAACAAATTTCTTGCTATTAGTCAATTATTTCCTAATTTGATTTGACAAAATTTTTTTTTTGTTTTACTGATACCAATCGACAAATAGAAAACTTTTACAAACACGGATAGGCTTCCAAATGAATTTGGGCTTTATTATTTGTATTAATTTATTATATATTTGCCTTGTTGTTTAATTTGGCTGTAATTAAATGCTTGTTTGTTTAATTCTAGTTTCTTTTTTTTCGAGGGCATTAAACTTCTCAAAGCACATGTAATACGTAGAATTTATTTGTGCTTTTCAAATTAAAATGTATCCCTATCGTTTTGATTAAATTTAAATGTAAGATATCGGTTAACATGTACATTGAAATAATTGTTATCTAATATAATTTCTTTTTCAGCACAGCGTATTAACACGCGATACATATATGCAACAATTTTGGTCGGAATTAAAATCACCCCGGGATTCTAATAACAAACCCAGGCGAAATGAAGTTCATTCAATTGAAATTAGATTAAAGGTACGATGCTTTTTGCTTTAAACATGTGACGTAATCTTTTTAAAACCATCGAAATATTTTTTAATTTGCGAATACCATGCTAATTTGGAACATGCCGTTATTCAACGCAATTTAAACCTAAAAATACTAATTACCGAAAATTGCAATATTGAATTTTTACTTGTTTCGTTTGAATTCTTGCGAAGTAATTGTTGTGCCTCAAAGTTAAGGATCTGAACCAAATTAGCCAAATTCAAATTTCGATTTCAGGCAATGTAGGCAAATTGGAAATTGAGACATGTGGTGCCCAGGTTGACCATTGCCTTAAATTTAAAATTGAGGTATGCAGTGCCTAAACTTGACTATTGCCCCAATTTAAATTAAGGCATCAGACAACTTGGGAAACACAATTTTTCAAAGATCGTATCTTGGGGCACAATATATTTATTTTCTTATGCCTCAATATAAATAAATAATATTCCTTCCATAATTAACATAAGCTCCATTTATTTATTATTTTTTGTCACAACACACCGAAATTACAGTTCTCGACATAATTATCCGGATATTTATTATAGTTACATAAAGGGATCATCATATCAATTCCTGTTCAACTAATATAAAAATTAAAATAGCAATTCTTTAGCCGAAATTCTTCAATCCTAACTACTTCCTAATGCTTATCATGATCTGCTGACTTAAACACAATCAAGAATTTGTGGGCAATTGTTTAAGGAAAGTAGAGAAAAAGGTTATGATTCGATTAGGAAAAAAAAAATACGTAGTGCAAATGTTTTTCAAGACATAATTTGGAGGAGGTAAGTAATGTTATAATTTATTAAATTGATTGATTTAAAAATAAATGTTAAAATATTTTTTTTATGGGCTGTCCTTTGAACGATCTAATGGTTGAAGAATCTGATATCTACAAAGGGTAAATAATATCGATAGTTAATTGACTTATTTTAAAAAAAAAAAAATCATAGATATTAAAATTTATAATTTTTTAATAGGAGCAATCCGATGTTTGAAGAACCAAGTATCTACAAAAGTATAAATAATGGTAGTTAATTGATTTATTTAAAAAAAAATATATATTAAAACATTTTTTTTTTTAAGGATAGGACTTACTTCCAGATGATCCGATAATTGAAGAAGCCGGATCTTTTAAAGTGGTACGCTAAAAAGGGGATATTATGTGCATTGCTAGACAGTATTTTTTTTTACAAACTAAATCACAACAATCGAAATGATTTCATTATTTTTTTAAAATATGAGATAAGGCTTCTTTCATTTAGATCACTTGAACGATTACCTATTTTTTTTGTTAAGACTTTGATAGTCTTTCGTGTTGGATCCCTACGCATTATGAGTAAGGGTATTTTCTTATTTTATTATTATTATTTTTTTTTTAATCAATTAGCGCAACATTCGAATGATTTATTTTTTATTCAAGATTTTGCATCCTCAAATAGGTTGGATACTTATGCAATATGAGGTAAGAGATTTCTTTTATTTTAATTTGTGGCGCAGCATTCAATTCTCTTTAAGGTTCATTTTTTTTTTAGGTTTTCTTTTGGCTTGAATCACCAAATATATAGCAGTGATTACTATCATTTCGGGCTCCTTGAATTATAACTTAATACAGTCGGAACTCGATATAACGATTTGGGATAAACCGATTTTGGCTCATACCGATCTTTTTTCTCAAACCAAAACCATATATAATTAATCTTACTACTATATACCGATTTTCTTATAAATTTCGCGATATTACATATACCGATGTCAGATCATAAACCAGCTATATGTATTTATTCGTGATAAGCCGATACCGATTTTTTTTTCAATATATCGATCATCGTTATAAAAAATTTTTTTTTTATTCTATATGCCGATTTTTATCGATCTTCACCAAATATAGGTTAACTCCAAATCTACAAGATTGACTATCACAGTTTTACTGAAAATTGTTAAAAATTAGGAAATGATCTATTGAAAATTGAGGTATTATTGTGTTTGAAGTTAGTTTCTTGTAGGGCCAGTATATCATAATAATGTGTTTCATAAAGTAAAAAAAGGATGTTTTATTTGGTAGGCTTATTAAGTTCTTTAACATTGTGTGAGGCTATGAAAATTTTTTTTGTTTTAATAAGGTTGAAAATAATATTAGGTTCTTTTGAAATATCAGTAGGAACAGTATTCATGATTTATATTATATTTATTGTGAGAAGTTGCTAATGTAGCGTTTTATCATTTTGTTAAAATCTTCATTCAAGGGGTCAAAAACTTGTGTATCATATTAGCTGAGAAGATTTTTGTTAATAAGCACAATTTGGAAGTCTTGACAAATTTTAAATAGTTTGTTAATTATTAGAGTGAATTTAGAGATTCGCTGTTGTTATTTTTGGTAAATAGCAATTAGTTGTTCATTAGTTTGTGACTGTAAGTAAATAGTACAAAGAATAGTGTCAATAAACAGAGATTTGAGTTCAGCTTCAGAAGCAGAGTCTGGGAGTGTATTGTTATAAGTTTTAGCTTTTTAGAGAGTTGTAACTTTAATATTCAGTACCTTTTAAACCATTTTAAGGCAGGATTGTGAAAATATGAAAGCAGAACAAAGGTCACCAAGGATACTAGTGATAGATTTGAGTTGAGATGTAATAAATTTTTTAAAATCAGGGTTATATGTAGAGCTGCCTGCAGCAGTTCCATTTTTTATATTTGGAGTAGGACACACAGTATTATTAAAAATAGTATCATCATCCATAGGTTCATCAGCTTAACTTATAATAGGTGGTTTGATACTATTCTTATTTAGTGTGGCTGTAGCAATAGGTTTCTTTAGTGAAGGAGAAGAAGGAGGTCATCTATTTTGAGTTTACAAATGTTTAATGTTGAAGTTCGATTGGCTAGACATGTTAGCAAATGTAATATTATCTTTAACAGTACTACGAGATTACTTAGATACAGTATATACATTAAATTAAGCAAGTTGAAACTTTTGATATAGATATTGGGTATATTTGCCTTTTGAAATGTTTTATTTTCTAGGGCACAAAAATGCATTATGATGTGTTAATGAACAAATAGCATAGAGTTTAGTTTTTGCATCAGTCCATTTGAGTTTTTTATTATTAAACATAGTTTGCCAGTTGCAATTATAGCATCAGCTTCGTTAGAATTATGAAAGTAAAAGTACGCATGTTATAAATAATTATAGTTTAATCTTGCTTGCGAAATAATTTAAATGATAGCATCAACTATTTTACCAATATTAAGGAAGTCAAGTGCTGTGATGTCTCGTGAAAGATTAGTTAGTTTTTTTGAAAATTTGGAGCGATTTTGGATTTCTTTTATGTTTTAGTCACAAATATGAATATGAATAAAGTCATTGATGATAAGCAATCAAATTTACTTTATCATCAAATGTGATAATAGCACATTGCATAAGTTTTTATTTTCATCATATAACATATAATATTTTCATAATAGAAAAAAAGTTTTTAATTCATGTAACTGTGAAATCTAACAGAATCTTAATTACTGTGATTGACTATGCAGATACAAAAGGATGCAATTTTTATACAACCAGAGGTAAGAACTTGGCTTTGTTCATATTAGGAATCTATACTTTGCAAAGATCATCACGTTTATTAGAGTCTAAAAAGATAATTTTGAGAATGTTGATTGATGGATTAGCAAGAAGTTTTCTATGTATAACTCCTGCAAAGGAAGCATAATTAAAACAATATCTATCAGTAATATCAGCAATCTTTATTAGAGATTCGCTTTAAAGTATTTTTCAAATGAAAAATACGTGAAAAATTTTTCAGCGCTAAGAAGTAATGCAGCAAAAGCTACTGAGGTAATATCAATAGTATTTTCAGATATGTCTAAAGGACTATTGACATTTATTTCATCTTTTTGTTGTTAGTTATTATTTCAGTGACTTATTAGTTTCTTTATTTTTTCTTTTATCAAAAATGTATTTTCAGATGTTTGGTCAACTTCTATAGTGATAACAGTGGGTTGTGTAATATTAGAACTTTCAGCGATGACTTCTTATTCAGTTGTTTGAGTGGTGTTTTATTTTTTGTATAGCAGTTTTTCTTTTACTAGTGATACTGAGCGATCACGATTATTAGATTTTGTTATTTTTTAGGCATTTTTAGTGATTAACGAAAAGAGTTTTTTTATCTCATCTATCTACATTTTACATTTTTTTTTAAAGTGCGGTAGTTTCGCTGAATCTTTATTATGATAAAAGTAGATATTTATACATTTATAGATAAACTA